GGCCCTGCGCCCCCCGTGTGTGTGTCCCTGCGCCCCCCGCTGGAGGGAAGGGGCCCTGCGCCCCCGTGTGTGTGTGTCCCTGCGCCCCCCGCTGGAGGGGAGGGGCCCTGCGCCCCCCGTGTGTGTGTCCCTGCGCCCCCCGCTGGAGGGGAGGGGCCCTGCGCCCCCCGTGTGTGTGTGTCCCTGCGCCCCCCGCTGGAGGGGAGGGGCCCTGCGCCCCCCGTGTGTGTGTCCCTGCGCCCCCCGCTGGAGGGAAGGGGCCCTGCGCCCCCGTGTGTGTGTGTCCCTGCGCCCCCCGCTGGAGGGGAGGGGCCCTGCGCCCCCCGTGTGTGTGTGTCCCCGCGCGGCCGCGCCCCCCGCCGGAGGGGAGGGGCCTTGCCATTAATTCTCTCTCTCTGCCCTCCCCCCTTTGCCTCCGTCCACCCCCAGGCCGGGTCGTGGACGTGGAAAATGGAATCATCTGTGAAAACATCCCGATTATCACCCCCACCGGGGACGTGGTGGTGGCCAGCCTGAACCTCAGGGTAAAGGGGAGCCCAGGGCTGGGGGGCAGAGGCTGCGGGTCGGGGGTGGGGGGCACCGGCAGGGCGGGGGGGGGCAGGGGGCTGCGGGTCGGGAGTGAGGGGCACTGGCAGGGCCGGGCTGGCAGAGGCTGCGGGTCGGGAGTGAGGGGCACTGGCAGGGCCAGGCTGGCAGGGGACTGCGTGTCGGGAGTGAGGGGCACCGGCAGGGCTGGGCTGGCAGAGGCTGCGGGTCGGGAGTGAGGGGCACCGGCAGGGCTGGGGGGCAGGGGCTGCGGGTTGGGAGTGAGGGGCACCGGCAGGGCTGGGGCGGAGCCAGGGAGCGAAGGGGGCTGGGGGAGAGGCTGTGGGGGGCGCTGGAGGGGGCAGAGCCAGTGGAAATCGGGGGAGTGGGGGAGCTGGGGGGGCAGGTTTCCCCCTCTGCCCCCCTGCAGGTCGGGGGGGGTCTCACGTCTCTCTGGCTCCCCCTGCAGGTGGACGGGGACATGCATCTTCTCATCACCGGCCCCAATGGCTGCGGGAAGAGCTCCCTGTTCCGGATCCTCGGGGGCCTCTGGCCGGCCTACGGGGGGGTCCTCTACAAACCGCCCCCCCAGCGCATGTTCTACGTCCCCCAGAGGTGCGGGCAGCCTTGATGCCTGGGTTCTCTCCCCGGCTCTGGGAGGTGTGTGGGGGCTGGTGGGTCAGCGCAGGGGGCCCGGGAGTTTGTTTACCCCCCATGTTTCCCGTAGGCCCTACATGTCGGTGGGCTCCCTGCGGGACCAGGTGATCTACCCCGACACCGCCCGGGACATGGCGCGGAAGGGGCTGACGGACGCCCACCTGGAGCAGATCCTCAGCATCGTCAGCCTCAACTACATCGTCCAGCGGGAGGGAGGTAGGGGGGATGGGGCACAGTTGGGGGATGGGGTGGGGGGCCATAGGGGGGATGGGGCAGAGTGGGGGGGATGGGGTGGGGGGGCCATAGGGGGGATGGGGTGGGGGCAGGGGGGGATGGGGGAAGAGCTAACCCCCCCCCCGAGCGAATGACCAATGAGGCATCTTCTTCCCCCCA